ATTTTAACAAATAAACTCGGAAAAGTTGCTAAAAAAAACGTAAAAAAATTATTTGGTTAAAATTGACGTGGAATAAAAAAAATTTGTTTTTTTTAAGAAGCTGAAGAGTTCTGTAAGAAAAAATTACGTCGATCTTGTATTATTAAAAAATAAAAAAATTTTTTACAATTGAAAAATGCGTATTTTTGATGTCATTAGATTCATAAAAAAAGGAAATAAAAATAAGATAATTAGGTATGTGATATTTGTTTTAAATTGCGTATTTATTAAACATATTATAAAAGAACAGTGAAAGTATTATAAAAGTTTTTATTTTTATACTTTATGTATTTAATTTTAACACTTACCTAACTTCTTTTGATGTTATTTTTACTAACAAACCACAAAAAAAAACAATTTTTTGCACGAAAATAACAAGTTTTGAGACTTTGCGTTTGGGACACGCAGCTCCTCTGTGCATGGGTCATTCGTGTCCGTTCGAGATTTGCAATCTCCAGTACTCGCCCGGCTGTACCAGCGGAATCTAACCAAGTTTTTCCCTGAAGCAGCGCTTTACTTGAAGTTTTTTTCCAGCTACTACAAGTGGCACCATCCCTGCTGAGTCTCAAGATATTATAGGTAATAGATTTTGGCCGGACACATGACCGAACAAATGACCCATGGACAGGGGCTGAGGGTTAATTATGTAAAACGATCTTCCTTCCTTGACGGTTTCGGAGGAGACACGTTTCTCGCGGACAGATCGCGCGTTTATTCATCCGATAATTTCTTTTCCGCCGCAATGTTTTTCATCGTGAGATCGTCCTGTCGATCTCTGTTGACAGGACGAACAGCCGCTTCTCTGCTGTAAAGAAAATACAAATGTAAGATAATATTAATGTTATTACGTTTCAATGTTATTTTATAATATTTCCCTTCTTTCTTCTTTACTTTCCGTGCTCTTCTTCTATTCTCTTTTCTCTATTCAACATTTTAGGAAATATATATATCAGTTTTTTTTTAACGTGTGCGTCTGTTTTTTTCCTTTTTTTTTCCCTTTTGTTTCGTCATTCGTCACTTCGAGTGTTATACTTCCTTTCTTCTCCCTGAGTACTTACTTTATTTGTTCGAATATTGAAAGAATGAGCAGCTTCTAATCTTTTTTTTTATATATATTGTCTTCTTTTGTCTTTATTGTCCTGTTTTTACGAGTATCTAATTCCTATGGGGAAGCTCCTCCTTTCTATTCCTTCATTCGAAGATTTCATCTTGCATTCCATAGAAACTTAACAAAAGATTTAAACCGGAACTCCGAGAACAGTCACCTGGGGTGACACTCCAGTGTCGAGAAAATGAAGCTTACGTCACAGTAATTTCAATGTGCTTCTTTCGTTGTTTTTTTTTTAAGTACTTTTTGGGTACTTTTCTCTTTACTTTTTTCTCTCTTAGAAAATTGAGTAATATTATGTATTATCCTTAAATACTAACAAATTATAGAACAATAAAAAATATGCAATATGTAATTAATAACAATGACATTTAATTGAGGTAAAAATCATCATCCCAGATGACCGTTTATGCAAACAATAAATGAATAAATAAAGTGACCGTTCTCGGGTTATTTATATACCTAATGATTCTGAATTGCCTCATTTCGATGATCTTCAATTACTTGATGTCAGTAATCTTCAAAAAATAACGCTTGCGTTACGTAATCACAACATATGAGAAGTCATGTAAGCTCATTTGATAAATTGCATCTGAATATTGAAGCTAAAAAAATGTCGTAAAAAACGCGCGTGCAATAACGCCGCGGTTAAATGAAATTACATGTCGTTGCACAACGATAGGGTCGGCGAAACGGATGGGATTTATTATTATTCCCGTCTGTATAATTCATTCGCGTGTGTCGTTACCGCGATAACGAGAACAATCGAGGAGCTAATTAGCGCGCGACGCGGTAAATTTGTAACGCGCCTGCCCTTTCCCATATATCTGTCACTCTCGCCGAGATTGCGCGCGTTACACATGTTAAGTTTTATTAAATATGCTCTCCCACGTCGTGGAACAACGTCGTTAAGATTGCCCCCGCGTTTATCGCAGGTGCGATATGCGCGTGATCGTTAAACTCCTTCGAAACGAACCGTGTAAAACGAGAGACGAATGAAATGCGTTATGAACGAGGAAATCAACCGCGTAAGAAAAAACTGAATAAAATATGCAGTCGGGGAGAAATAAATCGTGTAAGAAAAAGCTGAATAAAATTTGCGATATGGAGAAATCAACCGTACAACAATATACAATCCGGTTTCCCTGCACTGAGAAAAAAGTTATTAACTTGATCAAATATTTTCAACTGATTATAATTTTTTTAACTGAAGTATTTAAGTATTTGAGTCAAATTACGTCACGTTAGATTTAACATGTCGTATTTAATGTAAATACATAAATATTTCAATTAAAAATAATAATTAGTTGAAAATATTTAGTCAAGTTAATAACTTTTCTTTCTCAGTGTGGGAGATAAACAATGTTACAATAACATCGCGGGGAATGACGTTTTATCATTCATGTTGCAAATTGATTTATGAAAGGAATATTTATTCAATTCAATTCTTATGTGTAAACAAGATGAAAATGTTATTAAATAAAGGATATTCTTTGGTTTAAAAGGTATTTTTCAGCTCTTAGTGACCAGGATATAACATAAAAAACAAGAGCGTTTTTGTTTCTTAGAAAATAGAAATATATTCTTAAAATAAGACTAAAAGAACCAAAGTGTTGAACGTTATTTGCTTTTTTATTTCCCTACAAAAAATTCTTGAAAAATACTTTTTTTACGACTTTTCAAACCAGAATACCCTCTTGTATACAATATTTCCAATAGCTTTTTACACAAAAGGCTATTTTACACATTTTACTTGAAAAAACTGGAGAGTTTTTAATGAAAATTTTAAAGAATGTAAAAGATGAAAATAGAAAGAAAAGATACGACAGTATATCCTATATGTATTTCTGCCCGAGGTCTGAATAGGGTCTTTGCCCTTTAATCGGCTACGGGCCTGATTTAATCCCGTCGTATTAATAGTTACGTGGCACGTGTTATTGTCGGTGAACGCACGGAGCTGATAAACAGTGGTAATAGAGCGACAATTACGCTCCGTTGCGCGAGGCGACTTTAGAAGCTCCGAATCGGTGCGCGAGCGACTTATCGCTGACCCGCTTTCACAAATCCTGGAAATAATTCGTTATAAGTATTGCGTAAAACGTCATCACCCTTATACCGCCTTGATCTGGTAAATAGGTCGCATGCCTAGCAGTTGCGTCGACGAGTGCGTGTTCGAGGGGGAGGAAGGGGGGGGACGCGGAGTGCTGTAACGCGTGGTTTATCGCGCGAGTGTTTTGTTTCCCCGCGAAGCTAACAATAAGCGTGTTGCCTTTCATTATCACGAGAAGTGCGATAACCACAAACGGCACGCCTCTCGTTATCTCTCACGCGCCATTCCGCACCATTATGCGTTCGTAATGACACAATACGCTGACATCCGTAAGTGCACGTGTAAACAAGCGCATCTAACTTCCAAGTATGGATTTCCGGTCTTTTTAAATTTATCGTAAGATTTGAAAGGAACGAGATATTAAACTTTTGTTTAATATTTTATCTACGACAAAGATGGCAAAGGAAAATATAGTATACACTGAGAAAAAAAATTTGTTAATCCCAGAAAATATTTAGTCCGATACGTGCAACTAAACATTTTAGTTAGTTAATTAAACATTAGTTGAATTAATTAATTCTTGATTTTGTTGGGACAACTAATGTTTAGTTAACTAACTAAAATGTTTAGTTGAACGCATCGGAGTAAATATTTTTTTCGAATTAACAATTTTTTTCTCAGTGTAGAAATAAATATACATCACGTCTAATTATAAGATGTACAATAAAAGCTCTATTTTTTAACCCTATTCACTCCAACGTTTTTTTCGCCCCAATAATCCTCCAACCATGCACTTTCGAGTCTCACGTGTTTTTTATAATGTTAATAGCTTTGAAAAATTCCCCAAAAATTATTATAATATCTTTGTACCTTCGACTAAAAATCAATGTAAAGAACATTTGAAAATCATTTATTTAAATATTTTTTTACAACAATTATATGTTGACAAACACACGTTACGACTCGTTTTACTTAAAAAATCATAACTCACGAACAAATTGACGAAGCTTAATGAACCAAAACGCAAATTAAAGCTAAAAGTAGTGCAAATGAGAAAAAAAATATGAGATAATTATTAATTAAATAGGAATACTTAATTTCGTCGTCGCAAATTTGGTAATTTTTAAATGGTACAAGAAGGACTTTAAGGACTTAAAGAATGCTAGAAAAAGAATTTCTGAATAAGAAAAGGCAAATTTGAAGTGTGACAGATATTTTTTATGTAAAAAAATTAATTTTTTTTATATAATCGTAGCTCCTCCCCACCTCTTCCACCTGCCTTTGAGCCATAATAGACCTCTGTGGAATGTTAAATTTCTTTTTTAACGATAAAAATATTTTAAA